TTAGATCTGGTTGGTATCTTGGGAGGTTATCTAATCCAATTCTCTGGTTTTATGGAGGGAGAAATTGATGCTCAGAGATTGAACAGACTTGCCTAAGGTCATACAGCTAACTAGTCAGAGGGCTGAATTTCAAACCTATCACTAGTAACTTCTTAGTCCAATGCACTTTTCATTATAACAAAGTGCATACCTTCTCTTGCGTGCGCATGTGTGTGTGTTTGGGAGGGTGGGCGAGAAAGAGAAAAAGAGACTATAATTGTAAAAAGATACCATTTTACTATTTATTACCTCTGGCCAAATATTATAAGTGTAGGTTAAACATTTCCCTATCCTTCTCTTCTGATTCCCTAGAGAAGGCACCTGTGAAATACACCTGTTGTAATTGTTTTAGATTGCATCACACCCACTGGAGAAACTCTTGCAACCCTACCCACAACCTGCTATTACAGCCCTACAAGAGAAACACATAATCTAGGTATCTGGCCCAAAGCTTGTTCATTCACAACTAAAAAAATAAAGTAGGGTAGAAACAGGCACTTTATATAAGAGGGTTGAAAAGAAATCTAGGTAGCTAATGAATCAATGTTATGATCTATGTTTAATGTATATAATTGAAATAAATTATATTTTAATAATTTAGCTCTGAGAAGCTATGTGCTATAGTACTGCATAAATTATAAAATCTACTATAGTCCCGTTATAATGTCTTCAGGTTTCAAGCTGGAAGACATCACTAGAGACTGGTCACAAGGAAGACCTCCTGTGCTTCTAAGGTAAGAAATGCTGGTGGCCACCATCTATGAGAGAAATGCCTGTTAAGGAATCTTAATAGCATGTAAGAGCATGTTATGATATGGCAACACATACAAATATTTTAACATTCTTGTGCTTTATCACAGTAAAGATTTTATCAAAATTTAGGAGGAAAAGAGAGAGGGCTTCATATTTATTTACTACCTACCAACCCAAACACTATGCTCTGCATTTTTCATATATTACCTAATGTAATCCTCACAACTACAGAGAATGTTATCACCTTGTTTTTACAGATTGCAAAACTAAGACTCAAAGAAACTAGATGGTTTACCTGAGGTCACATAGTTTATGACTCACAGACTTGGGACTTGAACCCAAGAGTGCCTGATTCTAAAACCACTGGACTTCCCTTTAGATCAAACGACCCTTTCACAGGGGTCGCCTAAGACCATAGGAAAACACATATATAATTACATACTGTTTTTGTGATTAATCACTATGCTTTAATTATGTTCAATTTGTAACAATGAAAGTGGGGGTCACCACAACATGAGGAACTGTATTAAAGGGTCGCAGCATTAGGAAGGTTGAGAACCACTGCTTTAGATCGTGTTGCTATCACTCAAAAAATTTAGAGTAAAAGCTGCTCTTAAGCTTCCCAGAAATTTCCATAGCAAGCCAAGTCACTCACTCACTACTTGTCCACTGTGTGTCTAAAACTGTGTTGGGCTCCATTCACCCATCCATCCAATCATCTATTTATCATCAAATAGATATGAGGTGCCTGCTATGTCCCAGGCATTGCTAGGTACTATGGTTACATTGGTGAGTGAAAAAGAGGTCCTCAAGTCCTTTGGCATAGAGGAAAGAGTCAGTAATTAAAGCGTCATACAAATAAGTGTAAATTAAAACTGTGTTAAGGATTGTGATAGAGTAAGAGTTAGTAGTTCTGGGACTGAAATTCGATACGGTACCACTATAGTATCTAACAGAGGTGTCTGACTCAGGTTGCAAGGTTGCTCTGGGAAATGAAGACTGCATGGAGATCTGGAGAGTAAGTAAAATTACTTAGGTGAAGAAGAAGGTTGTAGATTGAGGGAATACAAAGATACTGTAGTGAGAGAAAATGCTACAAGTCTGTCTGAAGACATGGAAGAAGGGCAGTGTGGATGCAACAGAGAGAACAAAGGGGAGCACCACAGTGCATCCAGAAAGAGAGACAGGAGCAGCCAGGCTGCACTGGGGCTTGTAGGCCATGTGAAGGATTTTGACTTTTATTCTAAGAACCTGGCCTGGTAGTTCAGTTGGTTAAAGCATCGTCCCGATACACCAAGGTTTCGGGTTGGTAAGGGCACATACAAGAATCAACTAATGAATGCATAAATAAGTAGAACAATAAATAGATATTTTTCTCTCTCTTTCTCTCCCCCGCCCCCTCACCAATTAAAAAAGAAAAAAAAGAGCAGTGAGAGGCCACTGAATGGTTTTAAGAAGGGAGATAAGAAGGGAGATAACATGATCAGATTTACATTTTCTTTTTTCTTTTTTTTTTCTTTTTAAAAAATATATTTCTTTATTGGTTTCAGAGAGGAAAGGAGAAGGAGAGAGAGATAGAAACATCAATGATGAGAGAGAATCATTGATCGGCTGCCTCCTGCATGCACACCACTGGAGATTGAGCCCACAACCCAGGCATGTGCCATTGGCCAGAATCGAACCTGGGACCCTCCAGTCCGCAGGCTGATGCTCTATCCACTGAGCCAAGCCGGCCAGGGCAAGATTTACATTTTCTAAAAGCTCATGCACAACGGGGAAAACTGACCCCAAGGAGGAAGAGTAGATAGATACAGGAAGACCAGCCAGGAGGCTACTGAAGTAAACCAGGCAAGAGATGGTGCTGTCTTAATCTAAAAAGGTAAAAGTGGAAATGCAGAGAAGTGGATGGATTTGAGATACATTTAGGAGCATAAAAATGACAGAATTTAGAAATAACCTCAATATGGAAAGCAAGAGATACTTTGAAAATGTCTTGTTACCTGGCTTATACAATTAGATGAACAGAGGATACAAAAAGAAGATCAAATTTTGTCAGAGGACAGGAGAAGATCAGCAATCATGGGGTCCATTTGCTTATGTTAAGTTTGGGAGGCTTTTGAGATATGTAGATGACAGTAGGAGTCCAGAGCCCAGACAAGTCTGGGTTAGAGAGATACATTTCTGAGTTATCTGAAAATAAATAGCAAATTTGGGCACAGATGAAATCACCTGTGGGGAGAAAAGACCTAGGATGGAGCCTTGGGGAATTCCAACATTTAATGGATTAGTAGGTGAGGAAGAACCTGCATAGGAGACTGAGAAAGAAAAACCTCCTGAGAAGGGAGAAAAACTGGGAGAATGCGATGCCACAGAAGCCAAGGGAGGAGGAAGTTTTAAGAAGAGGAAAGTCAACGATACTGCTGAACAACACTGAGGGGAGAAGTCAGATAAACACTGTTAAAAGTGTGTTGGGCTGAATAACACGGAATTATTACTGACTCTAGAAAGTGCTGCTTCAGAGACAGGGGTGGCCGTGGGAAGGAGGAATGAACTGTAGGTCCCATGGTGGCTATCAGAAACTGACTCGCCATCCCAAAAAAGTTAATTTCGTTTCAGAAAGCAAAACTTATACAGAAGCTACAAAAAATAGACATAATGCTACCAGTTTTACTAATTCTTTAAATGCTATAAAAATCCAGAAAAAGAAGAATCAAGGTGACTGGGTAACCCAGGAAAATCTTTAGAGAAAGAAAATCTTCAGCAGGTTATAAATGGAATCAATGAAAAGGGCTCAATCTAGGGAAATTGCGCAAGAATACATGGTGTGTGTGCATGGGGGGTGGGAGTGGGATGTGATGGAATGATAAGAAAGCCAAGAGACACGGACATAGTCCTCCATTTTGAGATGTGGACTTAATATCGAGTTATTTAGGATCAAATAATATTTGCCCTATGTTTATGCTTTGCTGCCAACCTGTTGGCCAATTCATTTCTCAAAATCAATTATATCAGAGGATTGATAGGGAAAAGAAAAATGAGAATCATAAATCAATTGGGCTGTTCACTGGATTTGGATAATGCCGCGTGAAAGGTGGGGAGGAGTAAAATCACGGGCTAACGTGTAACTCGATGTTTGTGACTCTGAGGCAGTGAGACAGAGTAGAGAACACAGACCTCAGAGCCAGACAGTCAGGTCTGAATGCCAGCTCCATCGCTCACTGCCTTTGTAGTCTCGGGAAATGCAATCAATGCCTTTACACCCCTGTTTTTCATCTCTAAAATGGGACAAAGAGTAAGTTTCTTGGCAGGGTTGTTTCGGTACTTAGAGATGAGATGGTCATGCTTGCCTCATAGGAATCTCCTAATTGGTGGCTACTATTGTTTTACTAGTAGTAAGAGGAAACAGGAAACACATTCAAATAGACAACCTCGTACATTCTGAGATGGGGACGTTTTATTTACTGGTGGGCCCTGATTTACATTTTTCTACTGGCATTTATCTAAAGACAAGTGGAAAGCACCAAGTTTTTGGACCTTTTTTGAGATAAATATATTTATATCATAGACTTTTACAGTTAATGATGTTAAGTATGTAACTATTCAATAAATATATTCTTATTTTATATATTGATAACTTAGTAAAAGAGCAAAGAAGAGGACCCCCCCCCCCAAAGTAAACCAGAAAAATAAAAAAAAAAACAACTAAAGTTAAGGGTGAAAAAGAAGCCATGATGAGAAAGGCTATAGAGAACAGAGACAGTCGAATCAGAAGAGTCACCCAGACCTCCTGGATCCCTCAGAGCCCCTCACTGTCTCTATCAGACAGCCTCCTGCTCTGCCAGCTGGCTCTTCCTTTGCCACTGCAATGGCCTCTCGCCCAGCACACTCCCCCACCTCTATAGTCTCCTATCCAGCACTTAGCCTGGCAGTAGACCTGGCATTGCTATGCAGTGCTCTAGGCTATTTCCTCTTAGTTACTTAAAAAACAAAACACACCTACATGTGCATCTGCCAAATTAAGGACACCTTTGTCATAGATATGAGGGAGTACGTTTATAGAAAATTGGGATCTTCTTTGTGAATACTTTTTTAGAGATGCCTTTGAGAAACTTAATTAAAGAAAATATGCCAAAGGATAAATAAAATTAAGCCAAGGGGAAAACCCAGGCTCTGAGATGACTAATCCGATTTGTTTGGTCGTTCCTTACTGTGTGCGGAGGCCCATCTTCATTGTCCCTCATGTAGAAAGGCTTCAGTGCTAATGGATAATTAATGACAAAGACTGGTATGTTGCCACAGTGCTTCACCAGGTACTTTTCATGTTCAGTATGTAGATCAACACCCCACTGCAATGAGAAAAAAAAATCAACAAAGGAGAAGACAGAGCTGAAATATACAATGCAGGACCCTAAAATAACCTGTATCAGTTCTCTCCCTGAGGATCAGCGATGTGTGGAGCTGTCTGCTGAGCTTGCACAGATAACTAAACTAGAGAGGTATGTGTTAGCAAGAACATCCACAGGCCTGGAAAGATGAAAGCTGAAACGTGTAGATAAACACTATGCTCTCTGCCCCTGTCTGAGGGAGCAGCATTTAGCAGATGAATAGCATCTGCAGGGAAAAAAAAGTGTGCTTTCCACAGTGTATAAAAACTGACCTCAGGATCACAGTTTTATTAATATTGCCTAGAACGTCTTCTATAGTTACTGTTCCTCAGTCTCAGGAAATTAAATGATGGAAGATAATATTTTTAATATTGAGTCCATCTTTGGCTAGATGGCTTCTCTCAGTGAAATTTTTTAAACTAAAAGAGTCAACTGATATATCAGATGCTCCTTGATGAATATTTAATAACACTGTTCATCTATTTATTCAGCAAATACTAATGTGCCTGTTAAATCTCAGGTTCCATGCTAGGTACTGGATATAGTAAGAAAAATAGAACCCTTAACTTCATGAAGCTTGCAGAGTATGAAACAAACACTAAATACAAAATTATGCAAAGAAATTAATTGATTATAAATATAACTACTATAGAGGATCTGACTTAACTGGGGTTGGGACTGGTGTAAGGAATAGTTTGAAGACAAAGATATTACTGTACATTCTGAACATTATCTTATTACTCCCACTTGTCTGGCAATACCTTAATTATCGAGAAGAAGTACTGGCATAGGAATGAGGAGACTTGCCTCTAATATTATGTGCATGCTCACCGATGAATCATGTAGCCTCTCTGTACTTATACCTTTGCCAATAAAATAAAGGCATTCTTAAAAAAACCTACCCAAAAACAATTCAGTGTTTTCCAAAGTGGATCACAAATGGGGAGGCTCTATAAAGTTTAATAGGAAAAGAAACCTGTTCAATGTGTTGCTTAAACTTACTTGATCATTTAACCTCTTTTGTTTGCCACCTGTTAACATCATTCAGAATGTACTTTGGGAAACACTGAAATAGTTGATTTCTATACTAACAGTCTATGGTCGCCATTCTTTTAAAGGATTTTTGTCTTCCTACACTTGGGAAACTTCTGTATAACCCTTTAGTCACTGCTATTACAAATGATACAATTCTACTTCAAAATTATCGTTCATTATAAATATTTCAACAAGGCTGAGCAAATATAAAAAGCCAATGTACAGAGGAGCAAATCCTGCACCCTGCCAATAAGAGAAATAAGACTATTTTAAATAATAATAAGATAAGGATGAGGAAAAACATTTTGATATACACACATACTCAAACATAAATACTACCTCTGGGGTGAAGGTGAAGTTCTGGGACGCCTGCTTTAAGATCTCCACGGCTTCCGTGTAAGAAATGCTGGAGAGAAACCGAAAAGCAGAGGTCAATACAATCGGCTATTGTTAACTAGTCCACCTGAAAATGAGAAAAGATCTATTTCCATAGTCTCCGAGATTTAATATGAGTATTAAATGATTACGGAGTAATCAGGAAGTAAGGTTTACGTAATCCTATGGGCCGCCTATCAGCATGAAGAGAATGGCCATCCAATAACCCTAGTTTTGACCTACTTGTAGTGCACACAGAGCAGATAGTCACTAAGCAAGTAGAGATTTACTCTGAATTCATGCTATGCCAATGCTGTAATGAATGGTGTGAAATATAGAGGCTGGATGAGCAAAAATATTTTCCTAGAGCCATCATTCATTCATTCACCCAAAAACATACTGAGCACCTACTCTGTGCTAGGGATTATTCTAGGTACTGGATATACAGTAACTAAAAATGAAGCTCCTGCCTTTATGTAGATATTCGTGTGTGGTGTGTGTGTGTGTGTTTGTGAGAGAGAAAGAGAGAGAGTGAGAGAGATAGATAGTTAGGTAGATAGATAGAGAGAGAGAGAGACAGATATTGGGGGTACAGGTGGGGAGTGGGGAGAAAGATAAACAAATAAACAGAAATAATATGATGCCAGGGAGCTATTAGTGCTATGAAGAAAAATAAAGCTAGGTAAGAAGACAGAGGATGTTTGAAGGTGCTTTTTTAGAAAAGATGATGAAGAAAGGCTTCACTGAGTTGGCGACATCTTAACAGAAACCTACATGAAGTAAAGGAACCATATAAATATCTGAGGAGGTATTCCAGGCAAAAGGAACAGTGGGTACACAGGCCTGAAGTGAGGCCTGAGTCTGGCTCATTCAAAGAAGGAAAAGGTCAATGTGACCTAGTATTGAACAGGGGAAGAATGCCAGGAAATTAGAAAGGAAAGGTAGTCACAAGTCAGGTCCTATGAACTTTTTCAGGCCATGGTAAGGCCTCTTTAATATATTCTAAGCACTGTTTAAGACTAGGTTAAGAAAAATATCATAGGTTACCTCAGTAAGAAACCTCATGCCTAAAGCAAACCAAGCCAAAAATTTATATACATGATTTGAATAGATAATATATGCACATAGTGGTGTTTTTATTTTTTAAAGAAATCATTATGTATGAAAGAGTATACGACTTTCCATCCTGTCCCATAGAAACCTAATTAGTTCCTCTTCTCACACAATCACTGTTAGTGGTTTTGTGTATCCTTCCAGTGGGGATTTTCCCCCCAGAGGGTTTAAAACATCTGTAAGCAAATATCCTATCTAATAATAGAGACACATGGTAATTAACTGTAACTTCACTACCCTTCCCATTGGCTAATCAGGGTGATATGCAAATTAACTGCCAACCAAGATGGCGGTTAATTTGCATACGTAGGCGCCAAGCCACGGACTGAGGCTTTAGGCCTGGGTCAGGGAGGAACCTGACAGCAATTGTTGAGCCAGCGATGGTTGATGGTGGCGGCGGGGAACAGAGGCGGAGGCAGCCAGCGATCCTTGATGGTGGCTGCGGCAGGGAGCTGGGGGTGCCCTGGCCCAGGCCTAAAACCTCAGCCAGAGGCTTTAAGCCTGGGCGGGGCGGAGCCAGCCAGCGATCATTGAGCCAGTGATCATTGATGGCGGTGGAGGGGAGCTGGGGGTGCCCCGGCCTAGGCCTAACACCTCGGCCTGAGGCTTGGGCCGGGGAGGAGCCAGCTAGTGATCATTGATGGCGGCGGCGGCAGGGAGCTGGGGGTGCCCTGGTCCAGGCCTAAAACCTTGGCCAGAGGCTTTAGGCCTGGGCCGGGGCGGAGCCAGCCAGCGATTGTTGAGCCAGCGATCTTTGATGGCGGCGGTGGTGGGAAGCTAGGGGTGCCCCGGCCCAGGCCTAAAACCTTGGCCAGAGGCTTTAGGCCTGTGCCTGGGCGGAGCCAGCCAGCGATCGTTGATGGCGGCAGCGGGAAGCTGGGGGTGCCCCGGCCCAGGCCTAACGCCTCGGCCAGGGCTTTAGGCTTGGGCTGGGGAGGAGCCAGCCAGCGATCGTTGATGGCGGCAGCGTTGGGGAACCGGGGCGGAGCCAGCCAGCGATCCTTGATGGCCATGGCAGCAGGGGGCTGTGGGTGCCCCAGCCCAGGGCTAATGACTCACCAGAGGCGTTAGGCCTGGGCAGGGGCCAAACCGGCAACTGGTGTGAACTACAGAGGAAACACCTTTTCTGATTGCTGATTGGCTAAGCTCCCTGTATGCCATTGTTAATATTCTTAGTAACTTGGGTAATAAGAGTCCAAGTAGGTGATCTAGGGTTTTTTTTTTTACCACACTCCTGGAGAAAAAAAGGAAGGTCTGCTGCTGGAGAGTTAAGAAATGTCATATCCTGCCCTAGCTGGTTTGGCTCAGTGGATAATGCCTCGGCCTGCCCAATGCAGATTCTGGGTTCAATTCTGACCAAGGGCACGTACCTAGGTTGCAGGCTCCGCCTTGGCCCGGGCCCAGGTCAGGGCTCATGCAGGAGGCAACCAATCAAAGTGTTCCTCTCACTTTGATGTTTCTCTCTATCTTTCCCTTTCTCTTCCACATTCTCTAAAAATCAATGGAAACATATCCTCAGGTGAGGAGAAAAGAAAGAAAAGAAAGGAAAGAAAGGAAATAAAGGAAGAAAGAAAGAGAAAGAGAGAGAAAGAGAGAAAGAAAGAAAGAAAGAGAGAAAGAGAGAAAGAGAGAGAGAAAGAGAGAGAGAGAGAAAGAGAGAGAGAGAAAGAGAGAAAGAAAGAGAGAAAGAAAGAGAGAAAGAGAGAAAGAGAGAGAGAGAAGAGAGAGAGAGAGAGAAGAGAGAGAAGAGAGAGAGAGAGAGAGAGAGAGAGAGAGAAAGAAAGAAAGAAAAAAGAAAGAAAGAAAGGTAGGTGATAGCCTATGAAAGACATTTCTTGAAAATGCCTAAAGAAAGTTGTCATTTTTTCATGGTAAAGGGACTGGAGTCCGTGTTGATGAAAACACCTTGGTGGCTGCGGTGACTGGCAGTGGCTGCAACAGTGCGGTGATGGGGCTGGTGCTTTCCCCTGATCAGCCCAGTTGCCTCCCACAAAGGGAGGCCAGACTGTGGCTTAGGCCCGCTCCCCAAGGGGAGCAGGGAGCAGGTAGTAGGACATCCCCTAGGGCTCCCAGTATGTGATAGGGGGCAAGCTGGGCTGAGGGACCCCCCCGCCCCCTCCAGTGCACAAATTTTTGTGCACCGGGCCTCTAGTCCTATATAATAAAAGCCTAATATGCTAAGTGTCCGGTCGTCCAACCAATCAAAGCATAATATGCTAATGACATGCTAAGGCTGCTCAACTGCTCACTATGATGTGCAATGACCACCAAGGGGCAGACAGTCGACCAGTCGCTATGATGTGCACTGACCACCAGGGAGCAGACGCTCCAACCAATAGGTTAGCTTGCTGCTGGGGTCTGGCTGATCAGGACTGAGTGAGACGGGCATGCCCTGGAGCCCTCCCATAGTCCCTCCCCAGCCCTGATTGTGCACCGGTGGGGTCCTTCGGCCTGGACTGTGCCCTTTCGCAATCCAGGACTCCTTGGGGGATGTCGGAGAGCTGGTTTTGGCCTGATCCTGCAGGCCAGGCCGAGGCACCCCACTGGTGCATGAATTTGTGCACCAGGCCTCTAGTTAATATATAATCTCCCTATAAAAAATAGATGGCAGCCATAGCATACATACCATATACTCTTATATCATTACTTATGCAAAAATATACCTTGCAGATCTTTCCATATCGGAATATGAAAAGTTTCCTCATTTTTTGAACTATTACGTAATATTCTATTTTGTGGATGTATCCTAATTAGTTTTAGCCAGTCATCTACTGGTGGGTAGATATTTTAGCTATTTCCAATCTTTGCTACTATAAATCATTACTACATATACCTATTTTATGCTACAAATGACTCTCATATACTAATTTTGCAAATGAAAAAAAATGAAATTGTTGGATCAAAGTGTGTTGGCATTTGAGTTTTACATATTTTGAAAGATATTGCCAAAGATATTGTTTCCCTTTTATAGAGTTACACCAATTATGTCCACTAATATATGAAAATGTCAGTTTCCCTACGTCTTTTGAAACAGCACTTTGGATGATTAAAAACAAAAATCTATAAAGTTCCTCAAGAATTTCGAGCTCAAAAAATAACTTACCCAACACAAACTTATTCTCTGAAGCAGAAATGAAGTTCATACTATAATAACGAATTAGAAAGTTGTGTCTTACATTCCAAATAAAGCCCCAAAGCTATGCTTTGAGTGATAACTTTTCAAAGATAAAAATTCTATTCAAATTAAAAACCTAGTATTGAATACCAGGTAATTTCTAAGGTAAGAATGATGTTGGTGTTGGCAGTAGGAATAATTTTTAAACAAGCATCCTATAGAGGGGAAACTGAAACTTAGAAAGGATCAGTAAGTTGCCAAAAATGACTCATGTGACTAGTAAACCCTGATGTGCTGACCAGAGTCTAAGCTTCTAACTACTAAGATAATGCCTAAACCACTTGGAGTCTCGTATGTTCAATAAAAACAAGAGATGTGGGTTTTCCCTCTGACTCTACTATCACTTACTAGGTATGTAAATCACCACACCTTAATGGAAGCATTTTATACAATTTTTTGTAATGTGGTATACAAACATTAAAAATTATAGTGTTTTCACTTGTAAGCAAGGAGACTGGGTTATATTACCTAAAGTTCTTTCCTGCTCAGACAGCCTGTTGTTCTATTCTATCGTTACATGGTATGATCTACTTATCACACTGAGAAATGTAAGAGCAATCAAAAAGGATGTTGTGTCATTGCTATGTTACTGTTCCATTTCTAAGAAAAATGGTTCTCATGTCCAAATGTCTCTTGCTTTTTCTGGACATGCTGCCCTACTCCCTCCACACCTCAAGTTGAGGCAGAACTTTCAAGTTCAAATTACAGTTCTGATACTGGATATCTCTAATGGCCCTCTCAAC